CTCATTCTTTTGAATGAATTTACTCTCAAATGAAAGGTGTGCTTTAGTAGAAACAAGTAGCTGGGTTAAGGACGAAGTCACCTGTCGTTGGGTTACTTTTGGAACTGTTTTAATCGCTGACCGCTTACTTGTAAAAGAGTAAATTGAATTTATTATTTAGAAAAGATATCAAATTAATGTGACATTTAAGTGATGATTCGAATGTGATAATTTAATTTTCAATGGCATACTTTCGTTTCAAACAATAACATAAGTGTTTGGTGTTCTATTTATGTAAACGAATTCGAAATGAATACAATGCGTTCTTTTGTGCTCAACATAAAGGCATTTCATGTGACGTATGCTCTAATTACAACCAGCTTATTGATAGTTAGTGCTGATTATAACATAAAAGCGTGCGGGTTTTACATTAATTATTATACTAGAAGTGTAAACTGATAATATATTATTAACGATCATGTACCTTTGTAATTGTTGAAACTCTCTCTGTTACAAAACCTCTGTTCAAATTCATGTAAACGTCTTTCGAAATAGAGTAAACAAAAAAATAAGATCTTTGTTATTCGGTTTTATACGGTATTCAGTTTATTGGACAATTACGCTATACAACAAGAGATATTTTCTGAAGCATATGAAACGGCTGTAAAATTCATAGTCATAGCTTGAATACCAAAATTAGCACATGTTTATATTACTTCATACGTAGAAGATTACGTGTATATATATATATAGATCAACCTATGTATTTACTCATCAGATTGGAATTGGAATAAAAAAGACAATGCGGATATCTGGCGCATAACTAGGCATGCATCGCTTTCGGTTATTAACCGAAAACCGAACATCGGTTATAACCGAAACCGAAATAACCGAACATCAGTTACTTCGGGTTTAGTTAATAACCGATTTTTCGATTTTTGGTTATCAGCCGAAACCGATGCATGCCCAGTCAAAACTGAGCATATTATAAAATTTCATCGGTTTTAACCGATGTTCGGTTATTTCGGTTTCGGTTTAACCGAACTGATGCACTCCTACGCATAACCAGTTCACCAGAATCAGATCTATTTCTTTGTCGAAAATATTTTAGTTATAATTAGTTGAGAATAAAAAAATGTTCACACACCTTACACATCTTTATTTTTTAAAAAGTCTTGTACTTGCAGCGTTTCTTACTTCAGACTACTATCTCAGTAAAACATAATTTGTCCAGTACGCTTTAATTTTTTTTAGATTAGAACTCGCTCTTTAGAGTAGATGCTGAACGTGTAGGTGCCATGTCGGATCATATTACACATTTTACGGTATGTATTGCGTCATAAGAAAAGCCATCAAAAGTAAGTTTAATTGCAATGTGGACTATATTCCATGCATAGAGAAATTTGTTCATATGTGTCGACGCATAGATATAGATCGATATTATTCTTTTTCCTTTTTCTCGAAAGCTGAATTATATGTTTTTCTTTAAAGAACGAAATAAAGAGGAACAAAGTTCATCTAAATGTTAATATACTTTTCTATGCAAGGAAAACATCACTAATCATACCTTTAATAAAAAATCGCTCAGCTTAACGAGTTAAATAGAAAATAATTAGAGAGTATCCATTTTACTTGTTAAGACCCCCACCCCCCCCGGTCAGAAATCTATCTTAGCCAATTTTTTTTTTCCTCACACTGATAACCGTTCGTGACAGGGCGCCACAACAAAGGTCAAAAATAGACATCTACCACGCACAAGAATTATCATTCCAGATAAATGAAAGAGATCTCGGGCTGTTTCTGTTTTCCAGTAAACACCTATGGCTGGGAGTTGACAGAGCCCGATTTTTGAATTTCTCATTTACTGATTTGTGGTACTAAATAGAACTTTAAAGTCCGGAAAATTCGTGGAAGGTTTCTCAAAAATCCGCATTTCGATAAAAAACGGAAGCATAGTTTGAAAATCGGGCTCTGTCAACTTCTAGCTGTCGATGTTATCTACAAATCAAAACAAAAAGTTTCTTTCTCCCATGTATCGTTACCGAGGATTCCTGGGCGTGGCAAAAGCCCTGACGCTAAAAAACAATGTTAAGAAAAACGCAAAATATGTTTGATTCTGTTAAATGCGTTTTATTCAAAAGCTGTTTGAGCGTTAAATAATTTGTTCATACTTTGCTTGAGATTATCAGCCATGACGGATCTAATGAACATGTGCGGCACATGCACGCGCATATGCCATGCAAGTGCAAAAAAGGCATTTTTTTTGTTATAGGGCTTCTCAAAACCTATGAAAAACCTGTCCTAACGACAAAAAAATTATGCCATTAGACACTAGACACTGTGAGCTATCCAACTATGTACTTTTCTCAATGTTGATGTTTCTGATGAAAATCCTCATTTGTGACCCGGGAAGGGGCCTTAAACCAAACGAAAGAGAAAATGTTCGACATCCTGTCGAGCTATTTTTCAAAATACAGAATTTTTGTTTTACATTGAGTAGTTAGATCAGTCTTAAGTGAAATTTGTACCAGTACTATGACGTTCCACCTTTCTCTTCGGGCCACGGCAGTCGGAGAATATGTATCGCCAAGTTTTTGTTTTTACTTTAATCGTCATTAACGTTGTCATGTGGAGATAGTGTATGATATGACTGGGTGTGCATCGGTTCGGTTAAACCAAAACCGATATAACTGAAGAAATTTTATAATTTGCTCGGTTTTGATTGGGCATGCATCGGTTACAGTTATTAAACAAAAACCGATGTTTGGTTATTTCGGTTTTGGTTATAACCTATGACCGGTTTTAAATAATAACCGAAACCGATGCATGCTTAGACTAGATAAAAGCGAAGAAGAGTAGAAGAAAAGCAAGTATTTAACACTCGTTGAAAATGATAGAGCGCGTAGAACGTGTACTATATTCTACGTATATATTTCTCTATGCGTAGATACATTTGAATATTGTTCTATTTTCGCTTTTTCTTCTATTCGGAAATCTGATATATGTACATAATGATTTACTCTCGATCCGTCCTTATTTGCTCACTCTCTTTTGAAATCACCTTATGTCTTACAAAGCTGATTAGGGTACAACACAGTAGAAGAATTGTTGTTTCGATTATCAATTACACCGACACAATATAAAGCCTAACTATGTTCTATGTGAAATATTTGAAGGAAAAACTGTATATGAAAAGGTCAGATAATCTTAATTCTTTCGCATGTGCAACTGATACTATAAACTATGAAAATCTGTTCCATTCTCCGCTGTAAAAAATACAGTGTATCCGAGGCACAATGGAATAGCGCATCACTTTGGACTCCAAATACCTACTGAAAACAGCACGTTTAGTGTGCCCAGAACACACTGTAAATTGCTCATTTAAGCAACTGCACATCATTTTGGACTCGAAATACACACTTTATTTTTTACAGCGTGTACACAGCCTTTTCTCTTTCTGTCAAGTAAGCAAGAAAATGGAAAAGACCGATATTTATCTAACTATGTATCGACAGAAATGAACAAATTTCTTATCACTGGAATATAGTCGACGTCGCACGCGTTCAATTATTTTTGATGGCTTCCCCAAACATCCTACTAATACACGTCAAATATCGTTTTATCTTAGGTGCCTGATGATAGTGGTGGATATGATGTCTACAACATAAATGTATATGAACAACGTTTCAAATGTCCCCTCTGTAGAAAACTCATCAGAGAACCAGTACAAATGGTGTGCGGAGATCGTTATTGCTCATCATGCGCTACTTTAATGATTGAGTAAGTTCAACAAGCATGTTTAAGTATAAGTGAATCTGTATTAATCAGTGGTCGAATACTTTTGTTATCCGCTTTTTGTGCTTGCTTTTAATTTGTAATGTAATATTATTTAGAAACCTCATATCGATCACCTGCTTGGTCTGTAATGAACCTATATCGAACAAGGTATGACGGATTTAAACATCGATTGTTTCAAATAAAAATAGAGTTCTCATATCACCGGAATAAACAAAATAAAGTTGGTTTAGAGTTGCTGAAAAGTGATTTTTCGTATTCATCACACTCGATAACCCAGAAGATTTTCTATTTTTGGCCCGAGGTACTTCCGAAACTTTAAGAAAAATTTTGAAACAAAATGGCGCAAAAAGTTTTCCATGGAAAAACAATATTAATTTTTGAAAACTTTTCCTAAACTTTCGAAAGTACCTTGGGCCAAAAACAGAAAATCTTCTGGGTTATCGAGTGTGCTGAGTATGAAAAACCACTTTTCAGCAACTCTAAACCAACTTTATTTTTTTTCCGGTGATATGAACAGAAGCGCGGACTTCTTCTCTTCGAAGTGAAAAGAAGGAAAGCTGGATTTTATTATCTGACTATCCTTATCTACACAGTATAGGTTTTGTCCTTATATGTTATATACCGTTTAGCTTCTACCCGACAGAGGTTTTCAAAAAGAGATAGAACTATCAGAAGTGATATGCTATAAGAAACTAAACAATTGTACATGGTATGGTAAACTCAAAAAGTATGAGGTAAAAAATATGACTCTACTTTTTCTAAATCGAACACTAAATAAACTAAAGACAGATGTCTGTAAATTTATACTAGGAACATTTGAATAAATGCCATGGAAATAAATGTCAGTTTTGTGATGAACAATTTTCATCATTTAATGCATTAGAAAAACACAGAAAGAACACATGTGCTAAAGCAAAGATATCTTGTCTATTGATTCATTATGGATGTGCCGATCAGGTCAGTTATGTGCTATCCGCAGGGCTTCTACAATATTGTCTTTGATTGTGAATATTTAGATTATTCGAGGTGAACTCGGTTCACACTTTGTGACCAAGCAACATCAAAAAGCTCTCATAATATGCATGGAAAAGCTAAAGTCAAAAGTGAACCTACTGGTAACTGGCAGCCATAACACTCATCCACTAGCAACAAGTGCTAGTACTCCTTCTTTTTTTGCTGACAAACGAGAAAACATAGAATCTCCCCATGCAATATACGAAACTATGGAGTTTGAAGGACTAAACACAATTTCGAATGCCACCATCCGTACAAGTACATTGATTCGAACAAATGAACTTTATGATGAATTTCAAAAATGCTATGCCACACTAACGATTTTAACTCAAGGCGTTCAAACACTATCGAATGATAGCACTAGATTAAATGAGGAATTATCACATGCGAGTCGTTTAATACAGATGATACAGAATGATTTAAGTCATCTTAAACGTTCGATCGAGGAAAAAGGCACATATTTATCTGATATAACATCAAATCAAAAGACGTTAGGGCAACAAATCATAAGCATAAAACAAATAGTAGATGAACGTGAATTTGTTTCGCATGATGGTACTTTGATCTGGAAAATAATCAATGTTAAAGAGAAAATGGCTGATGCACAATCTGAAAGACAAACATCAATTTATTCGCCTCCCTTCTACTCTTCACCAGCCGGTTATAAAATGAGAATGAGACTCTATTTACATGGTGATGGGAATGCTAGTCGAACACACATGTCATTATTTTTTGTTCTTATGCGTGGTGATTTTGATTCAATACTTAAATGGCCGTTTAATTACAAAGTGACATTCTGCTTATTCGATCAATCAGGTCAAAATCAACATATTATCGATTCTTTCATACCAGACACAAAGTCAAATAGTTTCCAGCGACCACATTCAGAAATGAACATCGCTAGCGAAATTTCAAAGGTTTTTCCACTATCAATAATTCAACAAGACGATAGCCGCTACGTTCGAGATGATACTATGTTTATCAAAGTGATTGTCAATTTTGCAGATCTACCGGAAATGATCTTGCCATATGCACTTACGTTTAATGCTGGTCTACCGAGTCACGTACAACAACATTTAATTAAACAAGAGATTGAAAAACGAGAGCAAACTTCTTCAATGATGATAGTTGTTCCACCGGCAACAACAACTTCGTGTGGTTGAGAGAGCAAGAAATATTTAAATTCTAGTCACTAGATAATCAATTGTTATTGTTAATGCGCTAACAAAATTTGAGAACGAATGATTCCAAAAGCGTTTTGAACTGTTGAAAACTGGAACATATCTTCTCTTTCTCTCACGCTTTTAACTGATAATAGTCTAACCTAATACACTTAAATAACCTAATAATGGCCGTAGATTCGTTTTAAAAATAAAATGCATATAAGCTACAAATGCGGTCTTGTTGCCTGAAGTAAAGTACGAGAAATATGGTATCGTCCAAATAAAAATTGATTAAATAAATGCAAAAAAAGCACGTCGACGGAGCTGGATAGAAAGTCGTTGATACCGAACAAAAAAAGCAGAAACTATTCGAAAAGGTGATGAAATCTGAGAACATTGAACCTCAAAAAATTGTCCAAAAGCTAATTTTGACGTCATTACATAACCTAAATTCGTGAACTTGCTGACAAGTTGTAACTCGCAACTAGGTATGGGACGAATGAAACGTTCATCGTTCTAGCGGAGAAAACATGAGCGCGCTTGGCACCCGAGAGCATTTTGACGAGCGCGATTCGTCTGTTTCGCCCGAGCGAGCTCGTAGACCGAGCACCCGCTCGATCCATCCCATACCTAATTGCAACTCGTACGTGCGAGTGTACTAACACTGTGTTTTGCTGAATATGACTTTGATTTCAAATTGCAAAACATTGCATGTAGTTTTATAAATTGATCATATACTGAATGAAACTTAGCAAGTGTCCAGTAAGGGAATAGTGACATTTTCTCTACATTTTTATATATTTTCACATCCATATTACTTTTACTGTCAAAGACACTTTTATATAAATGTTCTTTGGTACCAAAACGATTTATATTTCCATAATTCTTAAACGTTTTCTTTTCTTCGTATTTCTTTAAAACACATACAAGTGCTTGTCCTTGTTTAACTGGAGAACCTTGAGTACATCAACGTCATAGACAGTATGATTTATGCTTATTTACCATACTCTTCAAATGGTAGCATAAAAATTAAGCGATTAAGCGAAGTTATTCGAGCCATAAAATCGTTCATTTTTTTGAGGATATATCATAGAAAAATATGGTTGTGATTCTTTTATAGTACTATATATATCTTAAGATTATCGTAGCTCATTGTTAACAAATGTGGTATACTCCTAGTTTTAGAGTTACATGTGTACCTTTTTATGGCAGATATGTCTATTCATGCTTAAAAACCTTTATTTCAAATTTCCAGGGTTAGACAGAAATACTTATCAATAAAGCTATCTTTTATTAAAAGTACTTTACATTTTGTCAATTATAAAATGTAGTAATATGAATCAGTGTCTTTTTCTTTGTATTTTTTTCTTTTCGTATAAAATAAAAATATTTGAGGTTGATATTTTTCAAGTTACACTTCTTTTTATTAATCAGACTATGTAGTCTGATTGATTAAAAATATTTAAATCTAGATTATATAGACTATAAGGTTTATCCACCAGGTACCCAGGTCGTTCATTCCTCACTCAGGATTCGGTCGAAGCCAGCTGAATCCGACGTCGGAAGACACTGAAAGTCCTCGGTTTCTGACAAAATCCGTCCCGATCCGTGGTGGATTGCATCTGAATCCTATTTCCCGGTTTTCGGTTGGAAATTGTATGGAAAGGATCCGAGCGTCAGAAATAGCATTGGAAAGTACCGAATCTTATTAGAGTTATGACTACTTTTTAGTAATCGTTAAAAAGGTAATATTTAGTCATAAATATCTGTCTTTTTGTTCACTATTTATTTTTAAATCAGTTCCTGGGATTAGCCTAAGGCGTGTGTGACTGACTGAGTCACACATCTTCGAACAGCAGTGAGTTTCGATGACTCACACTATTTAGCACGAAAACTTGGAGAAAAAAAATCTCATGTTTCATGTTTTACAGTGTCGTATTTATACTAAAAACCGCGAAAAACAAATCGAAGAATTTATTCACCGTACAGAGCAGCGAAAGGAAAGAGAGAAAAGAAAGAGCTATAGGTGGATCTGTCCACTTCCGACCATCATATTGGAACGATTTTTTATGTAGTGTCGTATTTAAAGTGCTTCTGTCTTGAAACAAAGCGGTGAATATATTATGCTCATAGAAAATGAAGAAAGAAAATAATGTGCACCTGGGTATGTCTGTAACGTTTCGTGAAATGTATACCTCCTCAGCCGAGCAACAAAAAGAGTTGAAAAACGTCTTATTTTGTGGCTTAAAGATTTTTCGAATTAGGCAAAGTCTAGCAGCTGACTAGTTTAAGCGACATACTAGTTTTGGTATACGCTACTTTCATACAAAAGGGTTTTATTGGCGCAAATTATAAACAAGTGTTTAGGTTAGAGCTAGACTTTGCTTAATTACGATTCTAAAGAAAAATCATTAAGCTACAAAATAAGACGTTTCCCAACTCTGTGCGTTGCTCGGCTGAAGAGCAATGAATCTCACAAAACGTTACGTCCTTACGTGTACTTCGCTGATGCGTTTGGACAAACCGTATAGTTAAATAAGTAATAATATTTATTCAATCGACAAAAATAACTAAAGGCCTGGTTCATGCTCAAATGTAATAAAAAGAGATAGATTACTTAACTCGAAACGCAATAAATGTGACATTTCCACGAGAAAAAAAAATGGAAAAAGGTTCAAATATGTGCACCTTAAAGAATCCGACAATTAGGACATTTGAAATATGAAAAAAGTTTCCATACTTTCTACCTCGGTTGCAACGAAAAAATTAACTCTGATTTTAAATAATGCAAACGAATGTGATGTATAATAATACTTCTTTTGAACATACCCTAAGGAATGGGAAGGCAATTTAATGAAAAATTCGATTTTTATACAGTATTTGAGCTTTACTTAGAATTTCTTCACTCTTGCGCCATGTCTAAGTGTTACAATCAGACCTTATCTTTTAAATCCCAACAAATGGTTAGGGGTATGGATCAGTTAAGTTTTGCTAGAGTATATGGATAAAGTCTATGACCTATGTAGTATGGTATTTGATATTCTATAAGTACTGCACATCGTTATAAACACTGATAGCTCTTCCTGACTTCCAATTAAACTATTTCCTACTAAGGTCTTGCTTTTCTTCTTTTGAAATGGCCAGTCATTTCATCCATTCTGTGTATTGCAATGTGAGTAAAAGTCTTTTTTTATTCATATTCACGAGGGAATATTCCAAGGTGTGATGCTGTGATATCAAGGAAATATAGCTGACAGGTCACGAATCCGATGTCCGTCTTTGCCACTATTACTGTCTTGGATGGGTCTTTGAAATACAAACCCCAAGACACCCAAGACCAACTTTGAAATGAAACAATTCTGATACTACCAGATTATAGAGCACGTCCAGGTACCTGTGTCTACAAGTTCTTACACCTAAAGAGTCAGTTTTCACTGAAATATAAAAACATTACCATATGAAATACTGACAACCTGAGAAATTTTTAAATGAACAGAATGTAATTTTTTTATATTTCAGTGAAAACTGACTCTTTAGGTGTAAGGACTCAAATGAACTTACAAAATCAACAAAGATGACCAGTCCTGGACGATTGGTGGCAACACACTGACGGGCCTGTCCGTAAACGGACAGCACACTAATTTGTGACCCAAGAAAGTAATAGAGGAGACGGATATCGGATTCGTGACCAGCATCAGAAACTACCTGTTTATGTTTCCCTTACCCATGCGTCCCATGGATAGTGAGCTATGTGTTCCCGACAATGATTTCAAGCAAGTTTCACTACAAGATTTCATCAGTTTTGCTTTCTTTTTAGTGAATGTTTGTCTTTCTGTTTTTGTCTGCGTGTTTTTCCTACTCATGTTGACATAAATTATTGATTTCATCGTGCTCCCGTATTTACATTATTCTCCTTACAGCAGATTTTTACTTTTTTGCTTTTGTATTTTATTATTGTTCGTAATAAATTGTCCTGGTATCTACCTTTGATTGTGTATATCAGGTAATTGATTCTTAGATAAAAGTATGTGCAAAAGTGCTTGGAAAAAACCAACATTAATTTGTTTTTTTCCTTTTGCAAGAATATGATTCTATTCACGTCTCTACTGCAAATAAAACAGACTGTCTGACTATGAAAAAGTTTTCTCTTTTAGGGTCATGTACTCAAGCCACTCAAGAAACTTTCGGTGAAATAGCTAAACTATTAAGCCGAATGATTCACCTTTGTGTAATAAAAAAAAAAGCGTTATTAAGAATCCACTGAGGTCAAAAATCTATTTTGACAGCTACAAGAGCAATATTCATAAAAGTTTTGGAGAATGTTGATCAGAGTATAGTGATGAAATCTTGTTTTCTGTTCTGTTTATCTCTGTTCGCCAGATGTCAAGACAATAAGAGTCGAAGTAGGCCTCTTTTGCAAGTGCAATAATTTCCTCGAGTTGATTTTGTTTCTGGAGTCAACACGTGTGGTTTTCCACGGACTTCTCCACTTTTGCTTTGGAAACTTTTGGATGTCCATGAAAGTCAAAAATTATCCCATTGAAAATTAGCGTCAATTTAATATCTCTCCAGCTCTTAAACTGACGAAGACTTTAAGAAAGTCAAATTCTGTGAAGGTGAATGTTACTCTCTAGAGACAGCTGCCCGAGCGTATGGTGCGTATTTTAAAACTGCTCGGAGCCATTATAACTTCTGACTGAAGTATTATCTACTGCTAGGAGAAGTCCTTTTTTAACTTGAGGAACCCGCACAGAGCGACAAATATGTTGCAGTAAGATGTCATACGCTCATGAAACTTTCACAGTAGAGGTATTCACCTATGAAATCAAAAAATGAGCGTGAGCGGCCTCTACGATCGATTCTGTTGGTCGAAATGTTATCTCAACTTCGGTGGAAGAAAATGATGTGAGATAGGTGTTCGACTACGGGGAATAGAAAATGAGTGTAAGCGACCTCTAGGATGGATTCTGTTGGTCGATATACGGGCCGAATTCTCAGTT